ATATAGCAATAATTATAAATGAAATCGAGCGCGCTTAAATGAAAAAACAATATTTTCTTTTTTAATATATTTTTTTACTATAAGGTGCGGGAAATGGAAAATTCGAGTGGATTTTTTTCTCGTTCATTTATATATGGTTTGATAGAGCTTGAAAAGCTGATCACGAATATATAGTTTTTATTTCGAATAGACCATTATTTGGCTGAAAAAATGTTGAAAAACATCAATGACTAAAAAAATCGTATTTTTACGAAAAATTCACTTTTTCTCCAGAAATTGTCAAATTTCGATTTCATTTATTTCGTGAACTTTTTCAAAGTATTATATTCTGAATCAGCATTAAAAACTGAGTAGGAAAATGTTATTTGATTAGGTCTTGAGTTAATAAACTTGAAAAATACTCCGTACGGTAAAATAGCTCCACAAGCCTAAATTTGTGCCTTTGCCAGCATTTTCGTAAACCTATCTAGTTTTTTGTAGTAAGAGATAGAATCAAGTGTCTTATCTCATTAGAATCCCTAGATCAAGGGCTACAAAATTACATATTTTGTTTTTTGAAATTTTCTTTTATTGTTGAAAAAATTCACTTTTTCTGAAATTTAGTGCCAAATGACTTAGTCAATTTTCAACTAAATCTTAATTTTTCTTTATAAGTTAGCATTTTTGTCTTCATATAGATTAAAACTCAGGCATAATTCAACAGATATAATTCGTAGATTATCAGAAGTTACTAAGAGAGAATTTGGGAAAATATTCTCTGACTAAAACTAAGTGAGCCTCTTCTTTGTTATGAGTCTTTGCTTTGATAAATTTAGTTTAAGTTCATTCTAATTTTTTGTCCTTTTGCTCCTATAGAAGGGTGAAGGCGGTCTCTATGTCACTTTTAATATTTTTACAGAACACTTTCTATTTGGTGAATGGGCATTTTCTCTTTGTGTTCTGTAAATGGGTATTTCCTCTTTCTCTTCTTTTATACGTATATCTTTCTGTCTGTAGAGTCTAATATCCTTTTGTCATTCACGCATTTTATAGAGTATCTTCTTCCGTTCTGTTCTGGCGAAGTATTTTTCTCTCTCTCTGTAGCTGAATGAATTTCTCTACGTTTCTGCGCTAATATCTGTCTACGTATAAATTTTTATCAAGCCTATATATACAGTAACGTAGACTGTCCTTTACTCATTATAAAGATTTGTGTGAATCGACTAGTTTCATTTACGTCAATTGACTAAGAAATTTAAAGTTTATTCGACAACGAAACTTCACGAATATATATTTTTTCATTATGCCCAAATTGAATAAACGTCGTGCTTCTCGAGTTTTTATGCAAAGAAGCGTTAGTATAACTACCGACTTTTATCAGAAAATGAGAGTTCATCATCATCAGAAGAAGAGGTGTTATTAAATGACAATATTAATGCTGGATCTGGGAATTTTTCGAATAATTTTATGGTTGATGACATTGGAGATCTATTTGAATTGAGTAAAAATAAAGTTGGTCTAAAACTTATTAGTGTTTTATTATTTATGACTCTTCGACATTTCGGTATCAGTTGGCTTCAATGCAATGAATTTTTCAAGAAAATTGGGGCATTGACAGCTGAAACAGCCAACAAATGGACTAATGTTTTTTTATCTGGTGGTTTTAATGAGTTTTTTAGGGAAGGACGGGGTGGAAAACGTACTTCCAGTTTTTATGATATTTTTCCTGATATTGAATCATTAGCTAAAGCTTATTCTGTTCGACGATGTGCTGAAAAGGCAGCTGATTTTGATGCATTCGAGTTAAGTAAATTCATAGATGACCAATTTTATATATTAACTGGTATTAAAAAAAATGCCAATGATCCATTGATTCGTTCAGTTAAATCCTGTCGTTTGGATCTTCGAAGATGGGGTGCCCGTTTTGAATCTAATTCACAACGTCCCTACTTTGAAGGTCATGAGCGACCGGATGTAGTACAGCATCGTCAAGCGTTTTTACAACATTTTCTTACACGAAAAAATTCATATTACTTAATTAGTGAAGGTGCGCAACCAAAATGGCAAATGCCCACGACTGGGACGCCAACTATTTTACTTTGTAGGTTACGATAGGCTCGAAATCAATAACATCAAAGTGTCTTTTTTATGTATTCTATCATGTTTAGTTCACGATGAGAGCACCTTTCGAAGCGGTGAAGTATCAGCTAAACGCTGGATGTTTGATGGTCAGGGTCCATTTTATTCCAAAGGACGTGGTAGATCTAATATGCCATCCGAGTTTTTGGTCATGCACAAATCAGGTCCATTTTTCCAGTTAAGTCCAGCTGAATATGAAAAAGCATTACATAAATATCCAGAATTAGACGGTGAACAAGATATTGATTATGTAGCACGTTCTGCGAGTGCATCGATTCACGTCGGTTCTGATGTATATTTTGATAATTCAACTATATTAGCACAATTCGAGAGATTATTTAAATTATTAAAATTCAAAGAATGTTTTAACAATCATAAAATTGAAATTATCGTAGACAATGCTCGTACTCATTCAGCTCGTGCTTATAGTTTATCAGATTTTGGAAAAGGAATCTCAACTCGATGTCCTGTTGATCGCCTAGAATGGGTAGATGAAAACGGTGCTACACAATCATTATCATGTTATTTTGAACATGGATCTAATCGAGGAAAATCTAAGGGTTTATTTCAAATTACCGTAGAGCTTAATTGTAATCCTTCACCTAAAGCAAAATTGACTGAACTATGTCAGTTACTTTCTGATCATCCTGCATTCCAAACCGTAACTTTTTTCAGCTGATTAAAACGTCTCTTGCACTTTTCTCTTTTCTTCTCCTCTAGATTTCAAGATTAGAACAACTAGCACAAAAATATGGCGTTTCCGTTTTATTCTGTCCTAAATTTCATTGTGAAATCAATGCGATCGAAGGGTGTTGGGCTCATATGCAACAATACATAAGAAAGAGAACTGATCAAAGTTATAAGACTATGATACGATTGATCGAAGAATCACGAGTAAATTTTCAATAGCAAGAGGTTCATCTTAAACTATTTCGAAGATTTTGGCATTGCTTAATAGCTTATGATGAGGGGAAAACTTATAATGAAGTGCTTCAATTGTTTTTTAGTAGTAGGTGTTCCGGAACAAACAAAGCACATAGTAGAATCACTAACACTAAGTTAAATAGTTAATCTTTTGCGCTTTTTTTTTGTAATTTCTGTTTCCCTTTTAGCTATACTGTCTATATTCCCTTTTTATTATTATTTTTGTAAAAAACGATAGGAGTGAAAAGTAGTCATCTGCAAAATGGTCACGGTCACGGTCACGACGTGACCGTGACCGTGACTAAAAATCATGGTCACGCAGTTCTCTGCTCACAAGATTTATTGGACGTTCATAAACCAATACTATTCTAGAGAAGTTCTAG